AGTTATGTCTTTCACCTAGCTAGAAAACATTTCTGCTTATTTCATAACCATGGCCCTCTCTGAAACATAACACAACATCCAATAATAAATCTGAATAATCAAACCTAGTGTGTGTAGCCATGAATCTGAAACCAATTACAGAAAACAAATAAATAAATGAATTGCAGGTAAGGGACCCCAAAAAGCAAAGACAGTACATACCTTTCTTCAGTGCACTCTTGTTTCTCAGTTCCATCAATTTCTATTTCTATCAGCTCCTCTGCCTCTCTCTTAGTCATGGTTAAAATGCCTTAAGAACAGAGCTATGAACAGAAAATAATTTTTTTTTGTAAGTCACAGACGAGCAAAACTAGATGATGGGTTATATCCTATCAAACATTTTTTCAACCAAATACCAGGATAGCTTTTTAAAGACAAGAATTCACCTTAAAAAATAAAGCCAAAAGCTAATTCAGCTTTCACAAAACAGATGAAAACACCTGTTCTTCAAGCAAATGTTCTAGGGGCAAATCCAGGACTATAAATGGACATGAGCACAGAGCTCAAAGCCTGATTTTCTTGGAGGCATCCAAATTTATGGAACTTTTTTGTTATGGGCCAGCTACAGCTTTTCGTGGCTGGTTGCGAAGAACTTCTGAAAATGCCTGGAAAGATTTTGCCATCTAGATTCAGCTACATATTACCTTTCTAGCAAGGCTGAAAGAGGCTGCTTATAAATTTAAGCAGTGTTTTACACAAAATGCTGCAACTACAAGCTAGACAAAAGATCCATGATTTCCTCATAGGTAAATAAACTCAACAATAAAGTGTTTCTTGACTGTCCCATCTTCCCACCCATCCCTCTCACAGGTGATTACTTGATGGATGATACGTGCATAATGAACGCATCTTGTTAAGTCCCAAACTCATGCAGTACGTTAGCAATTAAAAGCAAAGCTATTCTGTGACAACATTCTCATTGATACTGCAGATTTTCATGCCCTGTAGAATACTGGAGTCTGTTGGAATGTAAGGGGGAAAGAAAGAATTGCAGCATTTGGTCTGTAAAGATACAGTCTGTATAGCATCACCACGTTTCACTAACCATCCCACACATCTTAAGTATGAAATACATACAATAAATAAGGGGGTCGAATTATATTAACAGTTTACAATAAATAACATCACCAATTCATAGGAAAAGGAGTAGGAAGTAGGAGCACAGAGGAAAAAAACACAGCAGAAAAAGCAAAACACACTACTATTTAAACATCAACAACAGAAGAGATTAGCAAAATTTCCATCCTGGAAATCATTCTTTCCCAGCGACTATCCCAAAACCAACTGTTAGTAAAAGAATTTATTAAAGGCAAGTTAGTAACGGAACTTATTAAACTTTAAAACCTCCCGAAATGAACAGTAACCAACTAAATTGTACAGCTGTTACAGAAAAGGTTTAAAGAAACTCAAACTACTCATTATCTCCTTCAAAAACTGTTATGTAAAACCAGTTTTGAATAAATCCAGTGCCGCTGCATGTGGTATCCACCTGTAAGAAGCTACCAGGGCTAGACAGCAAGTAAACAGCACCTCACGAACATCTCTCCACTAGAAGCAAAACCAGAACCTGTTCTGCTCACAGACCTGGCTCTGTGCAAATCCCCTAACTGCCAGACTAGGGTCCACTGAACAGGGCCCTGGGAGTCCAATTCCTGTATCACTTCACCTTCTATATCATCTTCATGATAAATGGAGAAGAATGAAACATCATTTCTGAAGAATGCAGACAAGCTTAATTAAAATCTGAAAGAACAGACACCCGCATGGCTACTGGTGATCTGGTTGAACATTAAAAGATTCTTCAAAAACAAGGTTTGATCAAAGTCCCTTCCTTACTGAAAACTCCCAAAGCAGTTAACTGGTACCACAAAAAAAGGGGGAAATTCTTTCCTGAATTAGGTATCATATTAAAACCCCAAAACAACACAAGGAAGTTATCATTTTATTTGTCAGCAAGGGAGTTTACCAGCAAGGTCATAGAAGGGGTTACGCTAGGATTTCTTTTCCTTGATGTATTCGTAAGTTTTTAATTGAAAAAACTGTGCAGACCTGCAAAAAGAACTCACCATCTTGAACGATTTCTGTCAGAAAATATTCAGTACCAGTAAATCCAAAGTGATGCGTGAGTAAATATTTTAATAGCATAGTAACTGTATAGAATTAGGTAAGGCATTTTGAAGTCCCTATGGATTGTACTCCAAATTGGCAGCTGGACTAGTAACCGTTCATTCACTCTTCAAAGGTGGTTTGCGGACCACCAATGTAGCGGACCCCTTGTAGGGTCTACTACATTTCTGGTTACCCTGGGGAGGTAGGAGAGGGGAGCACAGGCACAGACAGCAGGTACAGAAAGAGGAAGAAAGACGGTTCCATTGAGCAGAGATGCAAGCAAGGGACATGACGGGTGGAAACAGGAAGAATAATACTATGAAAACATGTAAAGTTATTAACAATTCAGAGAAACTTCATGGGGAAAATTATTCATTCTTTCCTATGCTAGAATAGAGAGGCTCTCGATGATACAAACTTTTCACATGAAGTCTAGAGCAATTTGTTGCTACAAACTGATGCAGAGATCGAATGCGTACATAGGTTCAGACAGGACTAAACTCCCTGAGCCTTCCCTGAAGGCTGCTGAGAAACAAGAGAACTCAAACAGCCTGGTTTTCTAAGAGGGTCAGCGTGGTGGGAATAGCACAACAGCAGCATTTGTTTGGAGGAACATGTAAAACTGAGCTTAATTAGTGAAAGTTACAGTCTACTGATTCCCATTTGTTTTTATTTTTCCTTTAACCTAAAAAGCCCTAAGACTCACCTGTTATCCAAGAAGGAATCTGACCGTAACACCCAACACAGACCTCCTTTAACATAAGAGCAGACACCTGTCAAGAGAGCCTTTTTATCCCTGCACAACAGTCAGTGCTACACCAGTATCTTTTACGGTTTGGCATTTGCAGTCGGGGAGAAACCCCGCTGTTGTGTTAAGATCTATCTTTTATTTTCCCTGGAACATGAGGAATTCAGCAAGTAACAAGCGCATCATGACAGTGGCACAAACTCTACTACTAGAATTAGCGTTTGTTATCCATCCAGGCAACCGCGAAGTGGGGGCAGCTACTGGAGCCCGGGTGCATTATAAAGTGACACTGAAGCCCGGTCACTGGAGGTGCCTGTGCTCCCGGGAAGCCCCAGCGTTCACGGAGCGTTTACTATCCATCCCTATTATTGTTCGAATCGGTAAGTACCGACAAAAACCAGTAACAAAGCAAACAGCCCGTCTTTTACAGATGAGCTTTTGCGCGCTATCGGCCCGCTGGCGTTTCAGACAAAGACGGAGGACCACTAAACCGGGTGGAGCCGCGCCAAACCTCAAACTCTTCTTCCTCCCTCCCAACAGC